GAGGTAATCGTAAAACAAAATGTTACCTTTGCTTATTTGTGTGCTTGAACACTAGAGCTGTCCACTTGGAGGTAGTGAGCGATCTCACTACAGATGCTTTTATATTGTGTTTGCGTCGTTTCATCGCGCGTCGAGGTAAACCTAAAGTTTTATATTGCGATAACGGTACCAATTTTATAGGAGCAAATAATGAACTTGGTAAAATTTTGCGCTCCAGTCGTGAGTCTGTCACAGATTTTGCTACCTCTGAAGGTATAGATTTCGTTTTTAGTCCAGCTTATTCTCCTCATTTCGGAGGTATATGGGAGGCGGGTGTTAAGGCAGCAAAATATCATTTAGTTAGGATTGTTGGTAATCAATCATTTACTTTTGAAGAATTGACTACGCTATTTTCACAAATCGAAGCTATCTTAAACTCCCGTCCTCTTTCTCCTATCTCGTCCGATCCTTTTGACCTAACTCCCCTCACCCCAGGGCACTTCCTCATTGGACGGCCTCTGGTGTCATTGCCCTCGCATCCAGCAGACGACGGCAGACCGAAATACCACGCAATAACAAAAATTCGTGATGAATTCTGGGAGCGATGGCGAAGGGAATTCTTGGCGGAATTGCAATTGAGAACTAAATGGACGACTCCTCAAGCCAATCCTAAGGTCGGGGATATGGTAGTAATTAAAGAAGATTTTTCACCACCGCAACGCTGGCGCCTTGGCCGCATTTCACGTCTGCACCAGGGACCAGACAACGTGTGTCGAGTGGTTGACATTCACACCGCCAGAGGCACTATTCGCCGAGCGATCCACAATGTCGTTCGGCTACCACAAGAAGTTGAAAGTTAAACTTTCAAGGGCCGGAGGATGTCTACGCCGGAACGCATCATTCTTCGTCGTGTATGGAACGCATCCGTAGCGCGAGCGAGAGGTTCGAGCTGCGCGCCTTCCGGCCACTGCCATTCTAATAGTCGCGACGAAAACACACTCAATTATTGTAAACTTATATTATAATTAGCGATTAAAGAAGTACATCTGCAAAGGGATCTACTTATTTATATCGATCATCTCTGGCGACCGTGACAGGACTATGGAAAGAAATATAGAGATGAACATTTTCGTAGAATTGAGATTCATCGTCATTGTTAGGGTAACTGCTTATTTACGTTTATGCTAATAGTAATTCAGCATTTTCATTTTATTTTTATTGGAGTACAAACAGAGTTTAACGCTATCGCAATAGTTTGGTATGTAGTTTAAAAACTAACTGCTGAATTTCACTTTATCACTAACGTGGACATGGTTGTCGCTATAAATAAATCGTGCTTTGATTTTTTTGTTACTATGACGTTTTTATGACTCAATAGGTCAGCGTGTTTTTCACATCTTGAGTCCGTGCATCCCAAGAGGAACAGGGGCATTTTATTACGTAGGTCGTGACATGTTGCGCTGATGGCAGCCTGTCCACGAACGCGTTACGGCCGACTATGGCCCGTTTTGGGGCATTCTGGGACATTACCGGGCGTTTTCGGACATTTTCAGGCCATTCGTCCGTCGAATATTGTTTCTGGCACAATCGTGGCGTTCTCATTGTTTTTATGGCCCGTTTTCTAGTTTAAGAGGGTCAGATAAAAATTTTCAAAGTACTTTTCTTAAGTATATGGATCTGCAGATTGGTATCTGGGGGGTTAATGTTATCGTTACCGTTAATCAATGCGGTGCACTTTTGGGGAGAAAAGTTTTCTTGTTATTTTAGCATTTGGCTCAGAGCGTTTTGCTGAGCTCATAACCTAGAAGCTGGTCTATTAAGATAGCTGGGTTTGAGCAATTTTGGGATGCAGACACTAAGATCATATATCTTAAAATTTATATTGATGCCATTAGTTCTAAACATATCTATGCAAGAGTTTGCTTGGAGTTCCGTTGGAGTTGATGGAGTTGGTTTTTATTATTATTTGTTATTAGTTCTACTGCGGATATATTTATATTTATTTATTTAAAAAAGTGAACCAGATTTTTATTTAAAAATATCATTGATCATAATTTGTAGAAGACTAAGGCTTCCGAATGTTTTTTTTTTATGTTATAGGTCGGCAAACGAGCAGACGGATTACCTGATGGTAAGCAATCAGCGCCTGGCATTTTAGGCATAAAGGTTTCTGATATTTAAGTATTGGGAAGGAATGGGGGGAGGGGAAGGGATTGAGCCTTCCGGTAACTCCACTCACACGGAGAAACACAACGCTATGGTTGTATCACGCCATTTTTCTGTGAGGCCATAGTATCACTTCGGTCGAGCCGACCCATTTGTGCCGAAGCTTGACTCTCCCATACTTAAAGGGTTGCTTGATGGGTTAGATGTCAAAAAGAAAAAAACATAATATAACCGCATATCTCTGATGACGATCTCGCTTTCTAACTCCGAAACTACAGCGGATTGATGTAAACAGGGTGTGGGGTCACAGGGAGAGCCCTTGTAACGCCCGAGTGCGACTCACTTGACACAAGCCAGCTTTTAGCGACCCGACAAGTAGCAACCTGAATTTTACAATGCGTCGCCATATAACATCAGATTTACCAGGTATAGCCACGTTCAGAATTCTTAATGTAAATTCTATGTACATAGTTTTATGTATTAAATTCGGTTAACCAACAATTGTTTACACAAATCTTTTGTTTTGAGTTTACACAAAGACAAACACTTATAAGTGTAACAATTAACTAAATGCTAACACACCATGCACTATTATTTAGTTTTACATCTTTTACCTACAAATTTAATCTTTAGTTAGTATAGTTTGAATTTTTAATTAACACAATTAACACTATATAAACCGTTTTCCTACTAATAAGATGAATGAGAACCTTTTACCCTGTGATATCCTACTAGTGATACCCTGTGGTATTTAAAACAAGTCTGTAAACCAATGAAACAATGAATTTATTTTTGTAAATAAGCCATAAACTAGCACTTTTACACGTCAAAAATATTTAAAAAACTAGATGAAGCCGGAATTTCCTGTCTGACTACTCTAAGAAGAAATGCCGAAACAAACTCAGAAAATCCACAAAAACAAGTTATAAAATCAACCTGTTTTGTAATATAGATAAAGAAAAATAAAATGTAGTAAGACTACCGCGCAATTCTGTAGTAATATTTAGGATCCACACAAGACGAAAAGCCGAAATCCGCGATACCCTGAATAAACACATGGGCTATTTTTTATCAACATACCACGCGGGCGAGGCCGTGGTCGGAATCTAGTACTATAATGTCAGTAAAATGTTTGTTGTATTATAATGGTCTTGGTCCTTCTTTATCTTTATTTTTCATCATTCAGACTTCAGGAATCTAACTGAGCTTGCCCCGGTCCCTTGAGTTCGTAATGGACCAAAACCAATGATATATAATACTAGTAATGATATTCATCAGTATAATGCCGAGTGACCCAATTTCCGGCCCAACTCTTTACTTGCAGATTCATTTGATACACTGTAACACTGAAACCTTCAATTTTCATATTTTCCTTTTAGCAAGTATTTTTTTTACTTGCAATAAACTAGTGCTTGACTGCGATCCCATCTAATAGTAAGCAGTGATGCAATCGTTGATAGTAAGGCGCACTAGTTTATTAGGAGCCTATTCACTGTAGGCTTGTATAATGATTTTGAGTAAAAAACGACGGAGTATTCGTTGTGCTCTGGAGGTTAGGGCGCCCGCTTCTTATGCGCCGCGGTTTCGAAATCTGGCAAGTGCCAATGCCACTTTTTCCGAGTTATATACTTTCTATGATTTTTTTGATACCACTGACGTACGGGACGTATGCTGAGATCGAAGGCTAATATTATTGTATACGTGTTTTTACTTAATGTTTGTTGTTGACTCTGAAATCAATAGATTTTTTAAATTAATTTATTTAGTAATATTTTCATTTTTTTAATTGCTATGTGCGTTTTATTATTCGTCTTATGAATAAACTTTCATAATATATAGGTATTTATAAAGAATGATTTTTATTTATGAAAAGGTCACCAAAAATACTGTAGAATAGCCACCCGTTCCTTCACCTGCTCCGCGCCAGTGCTTCAATTCATCATTGCATCGGACAACACCGGAACATGAAAAGTTTTCGAATATTTTTATTACTTTTTTTGGTTCTTTACAAGTCGAGTCCCAACAATAGCAAACGGTGCAAGATATTTTATTAAATTTGGACAAATTGTTTCAGAGGTTTACGCGTTCTAAGACGTATAAATACTGCTATTGTTTATCATTCTATTTAGGTACAGATTTAATAATATATTTTGTTTGTCATGAACGTACCTAGTTTACCTCTTAAATTAATTTAAATAATTCATATTCATATTTGAAATATACATTAAATATTTGGAAATAATTGGGCGGTCAAATAAAATTGATACCTATTTTGGTTAACATTAGCCTCATTTTACAACAACAATTTTACTGTTGAAATTAAGACACGAAAAACAGGAAAATTTAGGTTTCTACAACACATGGTGTTCGTAAAAGTATGGATCGAACTGAACAGGATCGTAAGAAACTTTATTTCTTAGCTAACATCTTTTTTGCATATCTCCAAATTTATTTTCTTACTTTAGTTTTTTAGCAAATTGCGACAATGTAAGTCTTAAATTTTCATTAATTTTTGAAGTGGCAAATATATCGGTGGTTGGGATAATCCTATGTAAAAAAAAATAAAATAGGTATTTTTTTTAGTTTCCGCCGAGTAGCCATAGCAGGTCGCATAGTCAAATTTTGTCGTTATCTTTGGGACATGCTGTATAATTATTACGTTAATACGTACCACGTTTACAAATTTTATCCAAAAATTAATATATCGGTAACAATAATATTAGCCTACTGAGGTACGTAGCAGTAGTCATCCAAAAGCGATTAAAATCATATATAAAGGGAAATAAACAAATCAGCTCATACAGTTCTAACCCATCAATAGATCAGGCCTGACTGTTATTAAAAAATCAAGCAAAATGCTAAAATCAATTTATTTAATGCTCTTACCCGTTGCTCTGGGTACACTCCTTCCAAACGATAACAACTATCCGAATCCTGGATTCAGGAAAGAGATCATCGGAACTCAGATTTACACGTTCCATCGACATGCTGCAACTTTTGATGAAGCCCAGAATATTTGCAAACAGAATGGTGGACGAATTGCTGTTATTACTTCTAGAGCACAAGAGCCTGTGAGTACTTTTTATTATTAGCAGATTATATTCCGGAGTAAGTCCATTCAATTCAATGAATTAGACTGCACGGTTGGCGAGGTGGCTGGGCAACTGGCTTCCGAGAAACGTGTCGTGGATTCGATACCCGCACGAAATAACTCTTTGTGTGATCCATAAATGGTTGTTCCGGGTCTGAGTGCGTTGTATATTATTTATGTGAAACTGTGTATTTGTAAGCGCAACCCACGAAACAGGAGAAAATCATAGTGTTGGGCAGTTTTTTGTTTAAAGATAAAGAATTTGTACTATATAATTGTTTGTTACGGTGGCTGAGGCCCCGACATCGTGCAACGTGTTGTAGATTCGATGCCCACACGGAACAACTTTTTATGTTATCCACTTTTGTACATATGTAACGGGTATGTGAAATTGTATGATCGTAACCACGACACAGGAGTAAATCCTGGTGTGGACCTTCTAAAACTTGATCGATAAATGCAAAATGTTTTATTTCTCCGAAGGAACTGGTGAGGATGTTCAAGACCTCAGGCCCAGTCATAAACGCGTCGCACGGGTGGAATCGTCAGGCTTTCATTGGGATCCAGTACCGCGGAAGTGGGCTATGGCAAACACTAGATGGCAAGCCTGCGCCGTACCTTAACTGGAGTCGCAACTGGAGCGGGGGGATACAACCCAGTAACCCAGACAGGCAACGCTGTGGTAGTTTGTTGCTACAAGGAGCCATGGACGACGTGCAGTGTAGCGTACGACTAGCTTTCTTCTGCGAAAAAGTAGAGGAAAAACTCATACCTTGTAATTGCAGTTTTTAATTTTGTATGTCTATCGTCGATTTGATTCTAAAATCACTATTGCATCGTATTTTTTCTCAAATTTTCTAACAATTAATTATTTGTGTAAAGATCGTGTAATTTAGCCTTGTCTTGATTATTTTTTATTTCTAATCAATTTCTGAAGTTTTGGCTGAATTAAACAATTTATGTGAACTACCCAAATGTTCTTTTATTTAGTTTAGTTCGTAGGGTTATTTAGTATCACCCGATAGTTGAGCTGATTGTCAACTGGTACACGCATGCCTGCTGTCAGGTCAGATTCCGCTGCGACTTGTGTAAATCCTAAATATCACCACACATTTGCACGGTTCCTTCACTACATTTTACGTTACTTTGTCTGTACACCAAAAAAGATTGGTCTCTTAACTTGTACTTGTGGATTTTCACAGAGTAGCCACATCTAGGAGACACATTGACTGTGTCTAAAAGTAGAGGAAAAACTCATACCTTGTAATTGCAGTTTTTAATTTTGTATGTCTATCGTCGATTTGATTCTAAAATCACTATTGCATCGTATTTTTTCTCAAATTTTCTAACAATTAATTATTTGTGTAAAGATCGTGTAATTTAGCCTTGTCTTGATTATTTTTTATTTCTAATCAATTTCTGAAGTTTTGGCTGAATTAAACAATTTATGTGAACTACCCAAATGTTCTTTTATTTAGTTTAGTTCGTAGGGTTATTTAGTATCACCCGATAGTTGAGCTGATTGTCAACTGGTACACGCATGCCTGCTGTCAGGTCAGATTCCGCTGCGACTTGTGTAAATCCTAAATATCACCACACATTTGCACGGTTCCTTCACTACATTTTACGTTACTTTGTCTGTACACCAAAAAAGATTGGTCTCTTAACTTGTACTTGTGGATTTTCACAGAGTAGCCACATCTAGGAGACACAGTCAAATAGGATATAGTCGTCCTCTGCCACTTATTTAATGAAACACAGAGTATTAGGTACCTATCTCGTTACCAAATTTTAACCAAAATCGGTCTAACTGGTTTTAGCGTGAAATAAAAACATACACAATTTTCACATTTATATTATTAGTAGTATAATTTTAGAGGTGTGTAAGTTTTATTCCGTAGCCTTTTACATATAATAAATATCATTTCTCCATAATATCATAAAGCACTTGTGTAACTTGTTAACTTTTTTTATGGAATAGATAGGCACTCGAGCAGACGGATTACCTGATGGCAAGCAATCAGCGCCGTCCATGGACACCCGCAACAAAGGAGTTACGAGTGCATTGCCGCCCTTTTAGGGATTAGGGATTTGGAGATGCTACAGGGCTCAACCATCCTGCCAGAGTTGTGTCATGGGGCCCCCATTGTAGTTTCTCATCTATGGTTATACCCAGAAAAGTAGTTTTTTTATGTAATAGACCGGCAAACTATCTGGCGGATTAACTGATGGTAAGCAATCGGCGCCGCCCATGAACATCTGCAACACGAAAGCAGTGCGTTGCTGGCCTTTTAGGTATAACGGTTGGGATATTTAAGGATTGGGAAGGGATGGGCAGGCCTTGCCTCCGGTAACCTCAATCACACGGCGAAACACAACGGTGTGGTAGTTTCACGCCGGTTTTCTGTGACGCAGTGGTATCACTCCGGTCGAGCTGACCCATTTAAGCCAAAGCATGGTTCTCCCACACTTAAATTTGTTTTACAAATTCCAATTTCTTACCGTTTAATAATATGTCACATTCGTTACTTTTAACATTTGGCAAACTGTGTCACTTTGTCACTTTGTCCTTTTGTCGTTTAGGACTAAATTATTAACTGTTAACTGTTATTATGAACCTTCGTAATACGTCGTCATAATTCTCTATCGGTCTATTTATTTTCAAAATCAACGATATATCATCAGCAAATAATACCATTCCCGGTTCACATTGAAATAAATGATAGTCATTTATGTACCCTAAAAACAGGAAAGGACCTAATATCGAGCCCTGTGGTACGCCCATAGTTATGCTAGCACCCTGGGAGTTCACTTTATTTACTTGTACTTTGAACTGCCTATCCTGGAGGTATGATTTTAATTAATTGAGAGATACACCTCGAATGCCGTAGTGTTCCAACTTCAGCAACATTGTCGCTATAAATACTTAATTCTCTATAGGAAATTGAAAAATCTTTTAATAAAGGCGTGTTTTGACACTGAAGTTGAATTGTATACTTTATCGTTCCGTCTTTTATCAGGAAAAAAAATTAGTTTTGAAGGTGAGTAATGAGTGCTGTTTAAGTATTTTTTATTTTATTTTAATTAATAAGGTACATCAATAATATACATAAAATACATTTTCTTAATTTTATGACTGAGACAGAGTTCTTGTATCTTTAACAGATGTACACATCACTTATACCGTATGTAAACATAAACATTAAACTAAGAATTACAATAGGAACAAAATAATTGACGAATTTATGCGAATACGAATAGGTACATTAAAATTTAAATAAAAATATCAACATAATTAATAATGTAAAACAAGATAAGTATTAGTTGTACTATGTTAATTTGGCGAACAGTTACAACATTGCAGGTTTTATATAGAATTGATGTAGGCAAAAGAAAAGGAAGAGAAAACGCTACCTTAAGGATAGTCTTCTGAGCACGTTCTAGAGGTAGAATAACAGTTTTTAATGTACCGTCCCAAGAATTAATACAATACTGTATAATGGACTGACATAAGGCTTGGTACACTTGCGTGATTAATTTCATGTCTCCAATAGATATATTGGAGATCTCACTCTTATATGACATCTTCTTAAAACCTACATCACAACTTTCTGACTAATGAAACCAGAATGCTGATGTGCTGTTTGAAGCAGAGAGTTTCATCGATTGTGATGCTGAGATATCTGATGAATGTAGTTTTTAGGTTACGAGGACAGTTAGATGTACCCTCTAGTTTATTTGTACATTTTTGTCCAAATAACTCAGGTATAACAGTGGTATCTGGAAACTTACGCATATAAAATTTAATATATTTGGTTTTTTCCGCATTAAATGTCAGTAAATAAGAGCAAAGCCAACTATTAAGAGAGTCAAAGCCCGATTGAGCATAATTCAGATTTATTAGTAAATAAAAAAATTAAAGCTGTTTGATCGGCGTTTGATATTAGTTTCCCATTACAGATTTTGAGATTACACAAATCGTTGACATATATTAAGAATAGAGTAGGACCTAGTATACTACCTTGAGGCACTCCATAACTAATATATATTTTTTTAAAATGAACTCATTACATTATGTTCTAACACATTGTTATCGGTCATCGAGATAATCAGCAAAGAGATTGAGCTGCGTGCTTCTGACACCTGTGCATTCCAGCTTCTTTAGAAGCAGTGGAAAAGACACAGTTACAAAGTTTTGGCAAGATCAATTAAGATTCCTAGCATGTGGCCACGTTCAGATTTTTTAATGTTAATTCAATCTTGATAATTTTATTTATTAAGCTTATCAGGATAACCAACAATTGCCGGGGTTGCGGGGCAAGCGCAATAAGGCACCGCGGGCGGTCTTGGCCTAGAGCAGGAAGAGGAACGGGGAGGTTTTTAGTCAGTAAGATTGACACTACCTCTTGCCCTCCCCACGCTGAGTAGTAGTCATGGATGATGATTTTTCCCTTACAAAAAAAACTTTTAAATATTACATGCTTTTATTTTTTAATTACTTAAACGTATTTTAAACTTGAACTAGGCTCGAAGCTTGCATAAGATGTCAGTTGTGAGTTGCATAACATTTGAGAAATTTTATGGTTGTCTTGGTTTTTCTTTATCTTTTTCATCATCCAGCCTTCAGAATCAAACTGAGCTTGACCCGGTCCCTTTAGTTCGTAATGTAGTAAAACCAATGATATAAAATACGGTCTGACGGTCACGTTGACTAGTAATGATATTTATCAGTGTAATGCCGACTGACCCAATTTCCGGCCCAACTCTTTACTTGCCGATTCATTTGATACACTGTAATACTGAAACCTTCAATTGCAATAAAATAGTGCTTGACTGCGATTTCACCTAAAAGTAAGCAGTGATGCAATCGTTGATGGTAAGGCACACTAGTTTATTAAGAGCCTATTCACTCTAGCCTTGTATAATGATTCATCATCTTCCTGCCCTTGTCCCGTTTTATTTGGGGTCGGCGCAATATGTTTTTTTCTTCCATTCTGTCCTGTCACTCGTCACGCTATCGCTAACTCTTCTGTCTTCCTTGTACATATAATGATTCTGAGTAAAAAAAGACCGAATATTCGTTGTGCTCTGGAGATTAAGGCGCCCGCTTCTTACAGGCCGCGGTTTCGAAACCTGGCAAGTACCCATGTGTCTTTTTTCGAGTTATAGACTTTCTATGATTATTTAGAGACCATTGGCATACGGTGAAGAAAACATCACGAGGAAACTTGGACCCACCAAATGTAAAATTCTAATGATAAGTTTGAAATCGTCAATCTCCTGCTCAGTACTGGGCTCCAATCCATTATTATACTGGATCAGGAAAATTCTTCGAAGAATGTTAATTACTTTTTTTGATTTGAATTGAATAATCCAATTGAAAGTGTCGAATTTCTTTAAAGTCGATTCCAATATTATAATATTTGGTAATTTTATAAATTGATTTATTAATATATTTTGTTTGTCATGAACCTACCTAGTTTTCTCTTATATTAATTTAAAATAATAAACATTCATATTCGGTATTTAGTTATTAAATAAATAACCCTTTTCGAGATAATTGGACGGTTAAATAAAATTTATACCTATCTTAGTTAACATTAGCCTCATTTTACAACATTAATTTTACCTGTTTACCTGATGAAATTAAGTAATGGAATACAGGAAAAAATTTGATTGCTAACAACACATGGTGTTCGTAAAAGTATGGATTGAACTGAACAGGATCGTAAGAAAGTTTATTTGTTACTTATCGTCCATTTTTGCATATTACTTTACTTTTTTTGCACGTTGAGACGGTCTTGGTCTTAACTTTTCATCATTTTTAGAGGTGGTTCAATTTATCGGGGTGCCTTTTTTGAGGGGAATATCATCAAACGACTTCTCCCGCCCAGGGTGGGACGGGTCCCTACGATCCAGTGTCAGACTCTTAATGACTAAAAACCCCCTCGTTCCTTCTCCTACTTTTAGCCGAGGTTGCGGTGACTTATTACGCTTGCGACGCAATCCCAGCTGAACATCAGGCCTCGTCTGTAGTGGTCTATTGGCTCTTTGAAGCAGGAGGAGGGTTATTCCTATGTTAAAAAATGGAAATGCATATTTCTTTATTTCCTCCAGAGTAGACATGGTCAAATTTTGTCGTTGTCTTAAGGACACCATGTATATACGTTAATAGGTACCACATAAATATACAAGTTTAATCCAAACATTAATATCGGTAACAATAATTTTTGTAGCCTACTGAGGTATGTAACAGTAGTCATTCAAAAGTGATAGCATATCCTATATAAAGGGAAGCGAACAAATCAGCTCATACAGTGGTAAGCTATAAACAGATCAGGCCTGTCTGCTATTAAAAAAAAACATCAAGAAAATGATAAAATCAATTTATTTAATGCTCTTACCCGTAGTTCTGGGTACATTCCTTCCAGACGATAAAAGCTACCCGAATCCAGGACCTCAGAACACAGAAACTCAGGTTATCACGTTCCACCGCGATGCTGCAACTTTTGATGAAGCCCAGAAAATTTGCAAACAGAACGGTGGAAGAATTGCTGTTATTACCTCTAGTGCACAAGAGGCTGTGAGTATTTTATATTATTAGCAAATCTTATTAAGGAATCAATCAATTCAATTTAAGTGAATTAGACTACACGGTTGGCGCGGTGGCTGGGCAACTGGCTGCCGAGCAACGTGTCACGGATCCGATACCCGCACCGACGGAACAACTCTTTGTGTGATCCATAAATTGTTGTTCCGGGTCTAGGTGTGAGGTATATGTCAAATTGTATATTTGTAAGTTTACCCACGACACAGGAGAAAATCATAGTGTGGGGCATAGTTTTTTTTTTAATTTTTCTCTGAATAAATATTTAGTGTTACGATGTTCTCACATATTTGAACCAACTGTTTATATAAGGAATCATTGTGTGAAACTGATTAAAAAAAAAGAGTAACCATGGAGTTTCTTGCTCGTTCTTCTCCATCGGAATCCATTCTTTGGAACGAGCCAATAGCTGGACTTAAAGGAATGACCGACATACTGACACCTTATATCTTCAAAGTTTTGTTTGACGTTCAAAAGTGTCTGTAAGGGTCTAATTAAAATAAATGTCCTCGACTATCGTGCAACGTGGCGTTGTGGATTAGATGCCCAGATATGGAACAACTTTTTAAGTGATCCACTTTTATTTAACGTGTATGTGAAATTGTATCATTGTAACTACGACACAGGAGTTAATCCTGGTAGTCCTTCTAAAACTTGATTGATAAATGCAAAATGTTTTATTTCTCCGAAGGCACTGGTGCAGATATTCAAGACCTCAGGCCCAGTCATAAACGCGTCGTATGGGTGGAATCTTCAAGCTTTCATTGGGATCCAGTACAGCCAGAGTGGGCAATGGCAAACACTAGATGGCAAGCCTGCACCGTACCTGAACTGGAGTCGCAACTGGATGGGGGTACAACCCAGTAACCCAACAGCGCAACGCTGTGGTAGTTTGTTGCTACAAGGAGCCATGGACGATGTGCAGTGTGACGTCAAACTCGCTTTCTTCTGCGAAAAAGTACAGAAAAAAGTCCAACCTTGTGATTGCGATGTTTAGAATCAGATTTAATTATTTTTCAGATTCAGATTTTTTTTAAATGTCGTGAGACCATCATTGATTTATTTTTGAAACCACTTTTGCATCGTTATTTTTCTCAGTTTTTTTAACAATTAATTAATTATATTATATTATAATAATTTTTTCATTACGATTTCTTTTTACATTTAATTTCTAGTGTAAATATCGTGTGATTTTGAATTTCTGAAGTTTTGGCTGAATTAAATAATTTCTGCGACCTAGCCACTAGCACATGTTCTTTTGTTCAGTTTAATTCGTCGGGTCATTCAGTATAACCCGATTTGATTAATTCGTTTTGACTTTTATGTATTCTATTATAACACCTAGAAGAATGCCAAAAGTGATTGGTCTCCTAACATGTAGATTTTCAGAGTAGCCCCAGAGTATTAAGTACCTATCTCGTTACCAAATTTCAACCAAATCAGTCTAGCCGGTTTTGGCTTGAAATAATCACAAATAAACATCCATACATTCTCACTAACTTTCACATTTATATAATTATTAGGATTATTTTAGACGTGTATAATTTTTATTCTGTAGCCTTTTACAATATATAAATATCATTTCACCGTAATATCATTAACTACTCGTGTAACTTGTTCACTTAAAATTAACCAGTTTAATAAAATGAAATAAAATAATTCACTATTTTTTTCGTTTGTACTCTTCGTTTGTACATAGGTATGTAAAATTTTAACGTATCCAGTCTGTTTTGGTTTTGTTCAATTTTATAAATATAAACTCCTCATCTATTTAGGTCATAAAAACAACATTTTTACCCAAAGACTCTAAAAGTTGTAATACATTTAGATATTTAAGAAACACTGTACAGCTGCATGTCTTCTCAGGCCACATGACATGAGAAAAAAAATACATAAGAAATAAAAATTGTTGAAAGACTTCATGACCCAGTGTTGCAGAGTGCATGTAACGTGGCCTTGGCTCAGAGGAGGAGAAGTAACAGGGTGGTTTTTAGTCAGTAAGAGACTGACACTGCCTACTACACAGGACGAAAGAAGACGAAACAAAACTTTTAAAAGAGGGGAATTTATCAAGTGTCTCACGACTATACACACTTTTAGTTCAGGAAGCTACAATCTCTGTCTAACCGTTAGACAAAGATTGTAGCTTCCTGAAATAAAAGTGTGTATAGTTGTCCCCTAGAATGCTGTTTTATTTTTATTTTATTTTTTGGTTAGAGTCTAACCCGAAGCCAATAAAACAGCATTCTCCGAATAGCATACAAATAATTTACAGCAATTTTAACATAACAATTAAATGCCTTTAAATCGTCTTCTATAACGCAAACATGGCTTCTGAAACCATTATGAACTGAGGAACAGATTAAATAATGCCTCTGGCAATCTTAAGTGGCTATAAAGTTCCTAAGTACAGGCTCACGCTTGCGACACGACAACGGTTTCCGTGCCGGACACATTTGTGGCTGAACGCTAGTAAGATGGGGATAGAAATATCGAAGGATACGATTATGACAGGTGTTCACAGAAGAATGGTTATGATTTTGGAGGACGATGGAACGTTAAGTGTCAATGATAATGTGCCTAAGCTTTATATGAAACGGTTTTTTTCATAGACCAGTACAGGCACGTTAGGCAATTAAACAAAAAAAAAACATCTTTTTGTGTCGGTCTGTCGGTCTGTTGTCTAGTAGAAGTAGTGTAGTATAGGGTAGTATAAAAGAAATAAACATCACGGTGATATTTCTACGAAGGTACGAGGTTAACTTACACAGCGGGTTTTTGCCAATTAAATTATTAATGTATTATATACCAAACACTATCAGCGGCAAAGCTGCAGTACCGGGGTAAAAAAACTGTATGCCAAATTCCATTCAGATCCGTCCATCCGTTAAGAAAAAAAAGCAAAGATATGTACAATAATTACAATAAAAAAGGCTAACAACAAACTAATACCACAGTTAGCTTAGGAACTAAAATAATATAAAAAAGTGCTTAAACAACAAAAAATTTGAATATAACAAGAAAACAGCATACCCATGCCAAAAGGGTTGCCATCTCAGTATAAGTTGGGCTCAATAAGAACCCAACACTGGCTTTCAGTTGTAGTAACTCTTTTGGTATTGCGAGCGTCCATGGGCAGTGCCGACTGTTTAGCATCAGACAATGCGTTTGCTCGTTAACTGGCCTATAATTACAATTTATTAGTAGTACAAGATCGTGGTGGCCCGGAAGTTAAGGAGCCCGCTTCTTAGCATGAGGGTTTAGGTTCGAAACCTGGCAAGTATCAATGTGACTTTCCGAGTTATATGTACTTTCTATGATTATTTAGATACCACTGACATACGGTGAAGGTAAACATCGTGAGGAAACATGGACTTATAATTTCTAATTATAAGTTTGAAATCGCCAACCCGCATTGAGCAAGCGTGGTGATTAATGCTCAAACCTTCTCCGTGTGAGAAGAAGCCTTTGCTAAGCAGTGGGCACTTATAGGCTGATCATGATGATGATGACTATAATAGTAAATTATGGTACAAGTGTGTATTATTGGTGATTATTGCTGAGGATCATTGACTCATTATCTTAAGGAGCCGAGGATAAAAATTAAACTCCATAATAAACTCATGCATAATAGTGATGAAAAAGTTGTAGTTTGATTACAGGTGCCATTATAAGCCTGATTGCCATGGCATTAGAGCGGATTTATGAGGATGTGTGTTGAAAAATTTTCTTTATTTTCTTACCTACATACTAAATAAATTGTATACCCGTACATATGCGAGTACTGAGAAAAGGTGAACGATCGTGCCTGAAGCCAATTTTGTCAGGATACGTGATTCTCGTTAAAAGTTTTAACCAGCATGCGTGGGTATTACAAATGCGGACGCGATGCTCACATGTTCGCTCAAATTTTTCTCTATAGCGTTTCGCTTGGTATGGAAGCCACAAATAAGAGCTGGGTTTGATGAGTTGCTTGAATACATAGGATTTATATTTTAGTAATTTTCGTCCTGGGCGGTCACAATCATAACAATTGGACCTTGGTTTGAAAAGGTTTTTAATTTCATCGTGGTCGAATCGGATCATCTTTTTCAGGTTTCCGGGTCAAATAAATTCTTCATGTCTGTATTTTAGTTTCGTCATGGCTGTCTCTGTGTTCGTCCCTGAAACAGCCATTTGTTTAAGCTTTAAAAACCGCTCCAAGATTTTCACACACAAATAGATAGAATAGATTAGTTATCAGTGGATAGCTTTTAAAAAATAATTATGTATGTAGTGATAAAACTGAAAAAAATATATTGTTCATTATTATCATGCAAACTTCTACCGAAAATTGGTTTGAACGAGGTCTAGTAAGCAGGTTTTTTACACGTCATTTAATCTGAAAAATATTTTTTGTTCAGCTATTGACACATTTATTACCTACTTATTTATATATTGAACGATACTAGAACCACGTTTTGTGGCCTAAACAGTTCACCGTTATCATCACCATCATAATCATCATCAACCTATAACTGCCCATTGCTGAGTCAGAAAGGTAAACTTTTATTAAAAAACTTCAAATTAGCTAAAGTTTACACGAATAAGACCTACCTAATTGTTAATACAAACATAGGTACAATTTTCATACATAATGGGGTTCAAAATAAATTGGTCGCTGAACAATCAACGCCGATGATAAATTTTAAATGACCCAATTAACCGGCGTACTGTAGTCATTTGTCAAAGCTCTGCTTATATCGTCATTTTATCCAAATGATGTAAAACTAGAATTACATTTCCATTATAAAATTAGGATAGAAGATAGTCTATATTAGGGTATTTAATTAAATTAAATGTGGGAGAGCCAAGCTTCGGCACGAATGGGTCGGTTCGACCGGAGTGATACAACGGCCTCACAGAAAACCGACGTGAAACTACCACACCGTTGTGTTTCGCCGTGTGAGTGAGGTTACTGGAGGCCCATCAATCCCTCCCCCTACCCCTATCCCTTCCTAATCTTAAATATCCTAAATCCCCTAATTCCCCTTGTAGCTTATTAGTATTGCGGATATCCTCTTTCTTTAGGAACTTAAGTCACTTTTTTTAGGTGCTAGCCACCAGGAAAATGTTATTTGGGTGCATACCAAATAATGTTAATTAGTTTGAACCAACGTTTTATCACCCAGCAACTTCCAATTCCTTCATAAAAATCGATTAAAAACTTGTGGATTTCAAACTTTTTTCTTCTATTACAAGTGGAACTAATAATACAAGGTATTAAAAATTGAACTTCAATTCCCAGAGTTGCCACCATAAAAACAAAAAAGTAGGGTTACAAATTGTGGATAAAGTATTGCTTTGTAAAGAATATTAAATAAATAGACGGGGGTGAAGCTAATAAGGGTTGTATGTCCTGGACTAATTTTAAAGAGGATTCCAATTAATGCTGATTTTGTTCCCTTGTCAACATAATTTAAAGACTTTAATGTAGTCTCCGTTACCGTATGTTTAACATATTTTGTTATGATTCTGCATTAAAGTTGTGTATTCTTATTTTTAAAATATTTAACGTTTTCTCATCATTGAATTAGTCTACAGTACGTAATGCTTGTCCTATTGATTACCTTGAATTCACCGCAGTATTTTTTTATTATAAAAACTTAAAGTACTTATGGCGGTGAGACACATACTACACCTCCCTAGTTGCTTAGAAAAACAAATTACCCTAAAAATACTTATTTTTATAATAATTTATATTATTAATATAACATAACTTATTTTTATTATAATTTGACGAATACTATTAATTCATACATAAATATATAAATAAATAAATATTTCGTTTAAATATTCGCTGACAATATTAAATGGATGAAAATGTTACAGAATTTGAATTACATAACATGTTCTCTAAAAATTGTTATTTTGTTCATGATTGATGTAATTTACTTTGCTTTTTTGTTTTAGTTGAAACTTCTTTATAAAAATCTAGTTAACACACAACTTTCTAAT